AGTCAAATACAAAAGCCAGAGGAGCAATAGCATTCCTTTCAGGAACTAGCAAATAACTTCAAAAAATAAAAGTTACCTTTCAATGACGTACAACATTCTGACCAGAATAGTCTAATAACAGGGCAGGATCTGCAACAGAAAAGTCAATGGATACAGCAGAACAATACACAAAACATGCAGAAAAATACACACTTTTATGTATTTAATTCACCAAAATTGAGACCAGGTAACTAATAAACACATTTTTTCTATATTTTAGCATTTCTTTACTATCTAATATGAGAGCACTGATTAACAAATACCTTCCTGTAAATTAGTGGAGAATATTATAAAATGTCAATAATGTCTGTTCTGCACCTCACTGACATATAAAGATATTCAATAACGTATGGGATATCATTTGATGGATATCTTCAGTTTTTACAGATGTCTCTTGTGTAAGAATTGAAGACTATATCTCAAGGACTGACATAATCTGTTGATGTTCCTGTTCTGGGATATTTGAGCATTGTGAACAGTGCATCAATAAAAAGGAGACATGAAGGAAGGATCTCACCCGAAGAGTGGTCATCCAATTTTTGTCTGTTATTTTAACAGTGTGTGATGGTCTTCAAATGATGTGTTTCTCTACTTGATGATCCAATACAACCAGAAGCGAGAACAGAAATATCTGCCACAATAGTATTTTTGTGAAATGTATACAAAACCTATATTTAAGTGATGGTTTTGTCAGAACTATCGGTTTTGAATTACTTTGTATGTGATATTTCTGTTAATGTGAATCCATAGATTTTTTAAAGATTAAAATGAATGAATGTAAAATCCAATGGAGGTCTTTGACCTACATGCTCAATTTCCTGATTAAAGCTCTAAATATCTCAGTCTGTGTACATGAAATAGAAAATGTTACTTTTTTTTAGATAATTCTTGTCTTTTATATCAGAATCATTACAGCTATGAGCTCTTTGAACACTAACCAACGATATTGTCTTTCAATGTTCTCGCCAGTTGATTTTGTTTCTTAAACAACATGGACCTGCCAAATTTAAATTGAGAAACCAAAGGACTGATCTTCCTGTCTTTGCTCCTGGGAAACATTGAAATCATTGTGTTTCTACCCATTTAAATAGACCTAGGAATTCCACGTTTTTTTATACCTGAGAGTTTAGAGATGAGCTTGTGCTTCCAATACATGTCCATCAGGCAGAGTCAAAGTGAGGAGGAAGTGGATACTACTGAATTCCTATTGAACTTCCCTATATCAATGATTCTTTGACACTGCAGCCCACAGGTCAACCAGAAAACATGCATGCCTACCAAAAGACTTAAATCCCAGAGACAAGTCATCAGACTTGAAGGTTTAAAGGTGCTAATTAATTTTTACAACGTCAGACCCACTAAGCATCATTTTCACAATAAATCTCCTGTCAATTTCCCTCGACAATGGACCAAATGGCTTTTTTTCATACTTGACCATTCTATGGAGTCATAGAGTCATGCAGCACTGAAACAGAGCCTTCGGTCCAATTAGTCCATGCCAACCATATTGACAAACTGAACTAGTCCCACTTGCTTGCATTTGGCTCACATCCTTACAAATCTTTCCTATTCATGTACTTACCCAAATATCTTTTAAACGTTGTAACTGCACCTCCATTCACCACTTCCTCTGGCAGTTCATTCCAGACACGGCCACTCTCTGTGTAAAAATGTTGCTTCTCATGTCCTAATTTTGGCACCCGCCCCTCCTCCATCCCCTATTCCACCACCCCCCCCACCCCGCGCTGTAGGGAAAAGACCCTTGATATTCACCCTATCTATGCTTGTCATGATTTTATAAGTTCACCCCTCAATCTCCTACACTCCAGTGTAAAAGGTCCCAGCCTATTTTTATAACTCAAACCCTCCATTCCTGGAAACATCCTGGTAAATCTTTTCTGAACCCTCTGCAATTTAATAATATCCTTCCTGTAGAAGGTTGACCAGAATTGGACACAGTGCTCCAGAACAGGCCTCACCAGCATCCTGAAAACCTCAACATGATGTCCTAACTCCTATACTCAAAGGTCTGAGTAATGAAGGCATTTGTGCTAAACACCTCCTTAACTACCCAGTCTATGTGTGATGCAAATTTCAAAGAATTATGTACTTGAAACCTAGGTGTCTCAGTTCAACAACACTAACCCAGGATCCTACCATTAATAACACATATCCTGCCCTAGTTTGTTTTATCTAAATGCAATACCTCACATTTATCCAAATTAAATTCCACCTGCGACTCCTCAGCCCATTGACCTAATTGATCAAGATCTCTTTGTAATCTTAGATAATCTTCTTCAGTGTTCACTATACCACCAATTTCGGTGTCATCTGCAAACTTACTGACCATGCCTCCTATAGTCTCATTCAAATTATTTATATAAATGACAAATAAAAGCGGACCCAGTGGACCATCGCTGGTCACAGGCCTCCAGTCTGAAAACCAAGCCTCCAATACCACCCTCTGTGCCTACATCAAGCAAATTTTGTATTCAATTAGCAAGCTCACCCTGAATTCCATGTAATCTTACTTGACTAATTAGTCTGCCATGCAGAACCTTGTCAAAGGCTTTACTGAAGTCCATGTAAACAACGTCTACCACTCTGCCTTCAGTCTTTTTGGTTACTTCTTCAAAAAACTCAATTTTGTGAGACACGATTTCCCTTGCACAAAACTATGTTGACTATCCCTAATCAGTCTTGTGTCTCCAACTGCATGTAAATCCTATCTTTCAGAATCACCCCCAACAATTTACGCACCACCGATGTCAGGTTCACAGGTCAGTAGTTCTCAGGCTTCTCCTTACAGACTTTCTTAAATAAATGTGCAACTTTAGCCATCCTTCAGTAGCTCACCTCTGGTTATAGATGCATCTATGAACACTAAGTAGGTTGCAATCTTCAAAGCCTGGCCTACAGGCATTGATCGAACCATAGAATCCCTACAATATGGAAAGAGGCCATTCAGTCCCACAAGTCTACACTGACTCCCCAATGAGTGTCCCATCCAGACTCACCCCTCTACCCTATTCCTGTCAGCCTGCATTTCCCATGGCTAATCCACCTAGCCTGCACATCCCTGGACACTACGGGCAATTTAGCATGGCCAGCACCCCCTAACCTGAACATTTTTGGACTGTGGGAGGAAACCAGAGCACCCAGTAGAAACCTGCGCAGACACAGGATGAATGTATAAACTTCATGCAGAAGTTGCCCAAGGCTAGAATTGAAGCCAGATCCCTGCTGCTGTGAGGCAGCAGTGCTAACCACTGACCCCACTGTGCCAGCCCATTGACTATGTAATTGACCTGGGGGAAGAAATTCTAAGCTGAAACTTTTTTTAAAAAATGGAACAGCAGCATATATTAAAATGCAACCGTAAGATTGTCAGAAGATACTTACTTTAAAAATTTTATATTCAGATCAAAGCACCAAAGCCTCTTGCATAAGGTGCCTCAGAATACTAAAGAAGCAATGACTTAATAATGTATGCTCTTAGCCACAATAAACAAATACGACTCTTGATATGAATGAAATAATTAGATTCAATTTACAGTTCACATTTTAGGCTTAGTGTGAAAGTGCTACAGTTTCATTAGTTTATTTTAGTTATGGTCTGTAATGGAGAAATAAGCTAAATTCCATTTTCTAGCCTTACCAGCTGTAGTGCTAATCTTGGTGTGTAAACAGTACAGTTTCATTCTTTTCACAACCACACAGATTTTTTTGTATTCTGTTAAAAACAGGTCTGGAAATTCTCTGCTCTGCTTATCACCAGAAGATTGGTTCGTTCTGCTACTAGTCAATTACTTATCTATTAATGAAGTTAGTTAATAGTTTGCGATTTGGACTTTTTTTTAAAGTTTCTGAACTTGTCAAAACATGTAAGCGAATGGATGTGAAATTGATACAAGCAATTCTGACTAAAGATACACATCGTCCTTCTGGAGCTTGACTTCAGCTCTCCCATTCTTGCTCTCTAGGTCACTACATGTTTTGTACGAATAGAACTTTTTTATGTTGTTTACATTACAAAATATTTCTTCTATTGTTATGATCCCTGAATCTGTTTGATTATGTGCATTGAACCTTGTTTTCCACACAACTATTTCAATAAAGGCTCGTAACAACTGAGATCAGACGTAGAGGTGTGTCTCCTGTTAATATTTCTTGTGACAAAATTAATCACACTAAGGTAACTAAACTGAGAAAACATTTTGAGTTATGTGATATATGCTTTCATAACCTTATAGCACCAGCGACAAGTGTCATGAACTTGGATTCATTAGAGAACAGTTCAAAACTCTAAATGATTTGCCGATTTGATCATTTCAGAGCTTAGTTGGAATTGATTGTGCAGTTTATTGAAATGAAATGTACTCTCTAAGGTCAAAATTGATGATGAATTCTAACTACAGGTCCTTAATGGACATCTTGTGGCACAATCTCTGCTTCTGAATCAGATGTTTTGGATGCTAGACCACCTCAGAACTTGATAACCAAAACACAATGAAACAGGTTGTGTATCAAATGGCAAACCTTTCCAACGAATACCAGTGGCAAGCTATACAAGCAGGAGAGATTCATGGTCAGTCTCAGAGTGTAAGAGAGTTTGAGTATCAACCATCACAATCCATAGTTCGAGGCTACAACTTGTATTTAAAAACACATGTTGCCAAAACAGCATGGAACCTTTGAGTAATCTGTCATACACCATCACCACGGGTCAATTATAAAACTAGAAATGCCAATTTATTTTGCATCTACTGCAAAAACAAAAAATAAATCTCTCAAACTTATAATAGTGGCGTTGAGCTAAAAAACTGCAAAAAGTATTGTGTGAAGAAAATTGGACACAGATTGGACATTTTGAACAGATTGAATCATAACTGTTTGAAAACACTGAATTTCATTCCTGTCTTTGTTTTGTTTGCCGATATAATTTACTATCTGTTTTACAGATGTAAGTGATCAGTTATTCGAAGTGATTGGTCTGGAAGGGGCCATGGAGATGGGACAGATCTACACTGGACTGAAAAGTGCGGGGAAAAGACTAGCCCAATGCTCTCTGGTAACCATCAGGTATGTCTCAGTGGATCTATAGGATACTCTTATGTATTCATATCTGGTTTGACTAAAGTTTAAATGCTCAGATTGCAAATTCTATCTGTTCTATTCAAATAGTTATTGTTTGGAATTTGCCAGTGATAAACTGCAGTTTGAAATTACTCAGCAAGGGCTGATTTTGCGATTCTGTGGATGACAAATGCAGGTCTGCAACTGGGCAGAGAGAATGCTCCATGGACTGCTATTATAAGAAACCGAATGTTGTCTTCTATTTTCACAATGCTGATTGTTTGTCCTTATTCATCTCTCCTGTCAGCCACCCATGCCCTTCCAATACTGCTATGTTCAAATCTCTCACCACTGCATCTTTACATCTGGTTTCAGGCCTTCCTCTTCTCACTATTCATGTTAGTGCCCTCTCGGTTATTCACCTCACTAGATTTTTACTCTCTCTCTGTGATAGATGACCATATCATTTCAATGTCTTCTTACTATTTCCTTTTTTGCTTTCTCAGTCTTCACTGACCCCATAGATGTGTTGATTCCTGGTTTTGTTCAGTCTTGTTATTCCAACCTCAACATAAATAAATCCGAGGATCTCGTCGTTACGTTTCTCTTCTTGGTGATATCCAAGCTTCTGGAATATATAATAAGGCTGGTCTTACAACCATCCTGTAGATTTCTCCATCCAGTCTTGTATTAAGACCATGTCTCTACTTGGATATGTGAACATTAGCATTAACAAGTATAACACTGTAGAGTGGGGAAGGTAGGAGAGGCTGTGTCTGAGACACAGTGCACTCAGCCCCAATTCTATCTTGTTTTGACATCCCTCATAACACAGTCCCTGATTATCACACATCCCAATAGTACAAATTTTGATGATATTTTTCAATAACATAGCACTCCACCACATTTCTTTCAATTATTCCGAGAAATTTAGATAATTTCCTTTTTTGTACTCCTATCCTCTACCACCGCTAACCTTATGTACTAGAAACTAACGCTTTCTTCAAAAAATTATTCATGTTCTTTACACCGTCACTCCATCCTCCTCTTTATGGTCAAACGACAGCCCGTAAATTAGATCATTGGTCTCCTGATCTTCATGTTCCTGTCTTCCGGTGCTTTTTTCTCCCCTCCAGCTCTCCAAATAATTTGTCATGTTCGTAATATCTCCACCTCAAAGCTCATTGTCATCTGCGAGCCTCATTGACTGTGGCACGCCCTGTCTCACTTGTTCAGATCAAGCAATCTACTGCATTTATTTATTGTACCCACTGGTGCCTCAGCCTTACTGCATTCCCAGGTTATTTTGTAAAAGTACTGAATTGAAAAGCTTGTGCAGTACATGAGCCAGAGTGTCCACTTGGATTGGGAGCAAGGAAAACTCCATGAGTGAAGAGACTGAAAATTCCCTTTGTGTATATGTTTTACTGAAAAGCGTAGAGTCCTCTTTTAATAGTGTTGCAAATCATACATTGGAATTGAAAATTAATATTTATATTTTCTGAAAATGCTCGGGGTCTATTTTTGTATCTTGTTCAGTCGAACTTAGATTAAAGTTCCTGATATGGTGGAGATGTGCCCTGGACTGCATCTGCAAGGTTTAGTGTTAACTACATAACAACCAATAATTGTCTTAGTTTGCCCAGTTTAGCAGGGCAAAGCCTCACTACCTGCAGAAAGGATACCTGTAGGCAACTGAAAACATAGGGACAATTTGGCCTCTGATGAGTGAGGTCACCAGTGTGCTTGACTGCAATTCCCGACTGGAACTGTGATATAAGGCAATGTAATACATCCACATAGATTTGTCAAGATGACAGGAATAACACCTTGCTTCATATTGAAAAGCACATACTTCCTTGCTGAATTTTACAAAGTACAGGATATCACTGATAAATGCTTGAGTCTCATCCTGCAGTAAGTAACTAAGTTTCAGTGCATTGATGCGTAAGTCACAGAGAACCCCTTAAGTTAAGAGGAAATGAATCAGTCGAATCGATGAACATCAGAACAGATTGATTGATTTGAGAAAAAACGCAGATAACTATGATCATGGCTCTGCTTCAAAACTATGGCACAGTAAGTAAAGCTGTATTGCACTTCAAATCATAAAAGTTCTGAGTATCTTTTAAGATGATTTTTAACGAGGCTGAGAAACCAAATTTAAGGTGAAATTCTTTCGACTTCGATGTTGAGTTTAAGCAAAACACAGTGCTGCTGACAATTAATGATTAGTTTCGAGAGGAGTTGACCCACTTCTGTTGAATAAATTCTATTGAGGTAAGAGATGACTGGCTACTATCTGAGGTTTTTGGCAAGTTAATTTCCTTTTCCAGAGAGATGTGGTCCAACAGCTGAGGGAAAGCCAACTAACCTGACACTTTAAACTAAGTTTAACTTGAAAAAAGCAAAATTTCATATTCAGGTCAACTAATAATTTAAATGAACTTTATAGTTAGTGATTGTAAATACTAAACACTATTTAATGAAAATGTGTCATATTGTTTTTCACTGTAAACCTTTTAAACTTGATTAGTTTCCAGTCTGTACAGACTGAAATGGGAAAAGAATTGTCCTGTAAATTAATCTTCTGGGTTATTCAAAGAACCACCTGGGAGATTAGTGTTGGGAGATTCCAGGACAATCTGGGATTTAAATAACACTCTGTAGAGTAATGGATGTGTTGCATGACTTGGAGAGGATGGTGTGTTCCTGCGTGTGTAATAAACCAAATGTAGTGTGACTGGGTATTTTCCTTCCACCATCAAAACATAGATACAGGACCTAACAATGTTTTCTGCCTCTTGTTCATAAAATGTAGCCATCACATGGCTATGTCACACTGATTTACCTTAACAGGAAGCACAGGGTTGGAACCTCCCTTGAATATGCATTATCATTCACTGAGGAGAGGGACATGACGGATGTTGAGATTAGGGAGAGATGTTTGATTACTCCAAGTCAAGTCGGCATAAGGAGGGGGGAAGTATTGGGTATTCTAAAAGGCATTAGGGTGGACAAGTCCCCAGGTCCAGATGGGATCTATCCCAGGTTACTGAGGGAAGCGAGAGAGGAAATAGCTGGGGCCGTAACAGATATCTTTGCAGCATCCTTGAGCACAGGCGAGGTTCCGGAGGACAGGAGAATTGCTAATGTTGTCCCCATGTTTAAGAAGGGTAGCAAGGATAATCCAGGTAATTATAGACTGGTGAGCCTGACGTCAGTGGTGGGGAAGCTGCTGGAGAAGATACTGAGGGATAGGATCTATTTACATTTGGAAGAAGATGGGCTTATTAGTGATAGGCAGCATGGTTTTGTGCAGGGAAGGTCATGTCTTACCAACTTGATAGAATTCTTTGAGGAAGTGACAAAGTTGATAGATGAGGGAAGGGCTGTAGATGTCATATACATGGACTTCAGTAAGGTGTTTGATAAGGTTCCCCATGGTAGGCTGATGGAGAAAGTAAAGTCGCGTGGGGTCCAGAGTGTACTAGCTAGATGGATAGAGAACTGGCTGGGCAACAGGAGACAGAGAGTTGTAGTGGAAGGGAGTTTCTCAAAATGGAGAACTGTGAACAGTGGTGTTCCACAGGGATCTGTGTTGGGACCACTGTTGTTTGTGATATACATAAATGAGCTGGAGGAAGGTACAGATGGTCTGATTAGCAAGTTTGCAGATGACATTAAGATTGGTGGAGTAGCAGATAGTGAAGGGGACTGTCGGAGAATGCAGCAGAATATAGATAGATTGGAGAGTTGGGCTGAGAAATGGCAGATGGAGTTCAATCCAGTTAAATGCGAGGTGATGCATTTTGGAAGATCCAATTCAAGAGCGAACTATACAGCAAATGGAAAAGCCCTGGGGAAAATTGATGCAGCGAGATCTGAGTGTTCAGGTCCATTGTACCCTGAAGGTGGCAATGCAGGTCGATGGAGTGGTCAAGAAGGCATGCGGCATGCTTTCATTCATCGGACGGGGTATTGAGTACAAGAGTTGGCAGGTCATGTTACAGTTGTATAGGACTTTAGTTCGACCACATTTGGAATACTGCGTATAGTTCTGGTCGCCACATTACCAAAAGGATGTGGATACTTTGGAGAGGGTGCAGAGGAGGTTCACCAGGATGTTGCCTGGTATGGAAGGCGCTAGCTATGAAGAGAGGTTGAGCAGATTAGCATTATTTACGTTAGAAAGACGGAGGTTGAGGGGGGACCTGATTGAGGTCTACAAAATCATGAGAGGTATAAGTAGGGTGGATAGCAAGAAACTTTTTCCCAGAGTGGGGGACTCAATTACTAGGGGTCACGATTTCAAGGTGAGAGGGGAAAAGTTTAAGGGAGATATGCGTGGAAAGTTCTTTACGCAGAGGGTCGTGGGTGCCTGGAACGCGTTGCCAGCGGAGGTGGTAGAGGCGAGCACGATAGCATCATTTAAGAAGTATCTAGACAGATAAATGAATGGGCAGGGAGCAGAGGGATACAGATCCTTGGAAAATAGGCGACAGGTTTAGATAGAGGATCTGGATCGGTGCAGGCTTAGAGGGCCGAAGGGCCTGTTCCTGTTCTGTAATTTTCTTTGTTCTTTGTTCTTTGTTCTAACATTTCCTGATCTTTTAAAGAATGCCAATGTTAGCCAATTTAGTAACTTGCTAGTTCACAGATATAGGAATTGTTTGTGGTGTCTTCATGATTTTCCTTGCAGAAAGGTGGCATCATGCTGGCAGGATACAAAATATTCACTTTGTGCCAGGTTTTCCAACAGCATGATAGATAGCACCCATTTATTGTAGAGCCTAGTTAAAGTCTAGTCACTATGGAGAACACTATGAAGTTCTGTACATTATGACCCCACCTGCATTCACCTCATATTTTGGTGCATCCTCTTTGCCAACCATCAGATAGAAGCTCAAATGTGTTAGGTTTTCTTTCGCTTCATTTCTGCCTCTCATTATATTTCTGATCCTTTGCCTTGGCAAACTTTTCAAATGAAATTTGAAGCTTTAAGGAATCTAAATCAATATTTGTTCCAATGTGGAACCACTTTAAATACATTCATCATTTTAAGCTGCTCCCAGATTTCACACATTTACTCCACTAAGATAGTTTCTGGTGCAAATCCAAAGTCTATGTGAATTATTTAGTTTGAGTGAAACTGGAAAATTCAGCACTGTTACCAAGAGTCTGGTGAAAAAGCTATTCCTCAAGCAAATTTCATTTGTTTTGAATTTATTTCTATCAATGTACTGTAAATTGATGTAATTTCTTCTAATCTGTTATTTATTGTTGTGTCTCATTTCCTTATTCCTTTGTTCTCAAGAACTAGTAAGTTCCTGCCAATGCAGATTGATGGAGAACCTTGGATGCAGACTCCTTGTACAGTAAGTAGAGAACATTGGTGAAAAATATATTGCAAGCGTTATAAAATAATCCACCTGAATACTTGCAAAAAGACAACAGATACATCGCATTTAAAATGAGGGTGAGGCACTATCCTGAAATACGGAATGGATTTAATTGTTGACAAAAATTGGGTGAGTTCAAAAGCTTGCATAGTTACAAGACAAAGAAATATCGAAGTGTGTTTTTGTACTTATAGAATTTCCAAGTATTGCAAAGTGGCCTAGGTTCCGCATAGACAGACAGACAGATAAAGGCTCCTCTTACTGATGCTTGTGGCTCAATATTGACAAAGTCAAAGCCATTCTATTCAGCATCCTGCTGAAGTTCTGTGACCTAGATCCTTATCTCATTCCATTGTTTGGATTTCAGTCAAACCCAGGCATAGATGGAGGTGACGGGGAGGTGTAGAGGCAGGCGTAGCACTATCTGCGGTTGCAGGGAAAGGTGCCGGGGGTGGTAGGGCTAGTGGGGAGTGTGGAGAGGAGTCAAGGAGGTGAGGACAAGGGAGTCACGGAGAGAGCGGTCCCTACAAAAGGCAGATAGGGGTGGGGAGGGAAATATATCTTTGGTTGTGGGGTCAGATTGCAGGCGGCGGAAGCTTCTCCCAAAATGAGGCGTTCCACTCCCGAACATCCCAGATGTCCTCCTATTTCAAGGACTGTAACTTCCCCCGCTCCGGTGATTGAAAATGACCTCAACGGCATCTCTTATGTTTCCCGCACCTCTGCCCTCACATCCCCTACCCCCAACAAAAATAAAGACAGAAACCCCTTGTCCTCACGTATTACCCCACTAACGTCCAGATTCAAAGTACCATTCTCTGCCACTTCCGCCACCTGCAAAATCTGATCCCACTACAAAGGATATATTTCCCTCCCCACCCCTATCTGCCTTCCATAGGGACCGCTCTGTCTGTGACTCCCTCATCCACTCCACACTCCCCACTAGCCCCACCACCCCCGACACCTTTCCCTGCAACCGTCCCTCACCTCCATTCAAGGCACAAAACAAACCTTCCACATTAGACAGGGGTTCACCCTGAACATCCGTGAATGTGGTCTACTGCATCCGCTGCTCCCGATGTGGCCTCCTCTATGTCAGTGAGACCAAGCAGAGGCTTGCAGAGCATCTGCACTTTGTTCACAACAAACGACAATACCTTCTGGTCACGAACATTTTAACTGCCCCTCCCACTCCTTGGGTGACATGTCCACCCTGGCCCTCCTCCAGTGTCACAATGATGCCACTCGCAAACTGGAGGAACAGCACCTCATATTCCACCTTGGGAGCCTACAGCCCAATGGCCCAAATGTGGATTTTACCAGTTTCAAAATCTCCCCACCTCCCGGTCTCATCCCGTGACCAACCCCTCCTCTCATCTCCATCTCCTTGACCTGTCTGTCTTCTCTCCCACCTATCCGCTCCTCCCACCTCACTGACCAACCCCCACCACTGCCTACCTATACTCGCCTATCACCATCCCACCTACCTTCCCCAGTCCCACCCCTCCTCTCTCTATTTATTTCTGACCTCTCTTCCCCCCAAACCCCGCCATTTCTGAAGAAGTGTCCTGAGCCGAAACGTCAACTTTCCTGCTCCTCTGATGCTGCCTGGCCTGCTGTGTTCCTCTGGCTCCACACTGTGTTATCTCTGACTTCAGCATCAACAGTTGCTGAATTTTTGAAACTATCTCTGAATTCTTGCTGTGAAACAAGTTAACGTATAACAAAGTTGGAATAATGGGATAACACAATGTGGAGCTGGAGGAACACAGCAGGCCAGGCAGCATCAGGCGAGCAGGAAAGTTGATGTTTCGGGTCAGGACCCTTCTTCAGAAATGATCGACATCGGCAGTTCTTACTATCTTGGAATAATGGGGATCCCTTTAGCTGATGCTATTGTAATGTGTGAAATAGAGGAGCAGATAGAAAAGCTGGGAGGGGAAGGCAGAAAAGCTATGTAAAAGATATGAAATACATACTTTAATGTAGGGTGGAATTCATACAAGCATACAGGGGTCAAAGACTGCTGGATCTGACTGATGCTGTGAAATGCTGTGAAATGCTTTTAAACAAGAATGTGTGTGAGCTTTTCTTAATGCGAGAGCAGGTACTGGATAAACATTGCTAAAATAAGTTGCTCGATATCCCAAGTTTGCCACAAAGAAATGTGAGTACTGATTGTTGAGCCATCAGTTGTTTTGGATCTGAAAGCAATTTTATTTATCTAACCAAGTCCAATGCGCTGTTTAGAAACATTCAGACAGTCTCCTATAGTATTGCACAAGGGCAGGTATGACACAAGATCAGAAGTATGCCATTTTGTCCATTGAGTCTGCTCCGTCATTGAATAAGATCATAGCTACAAACAATCACACAACATGCAAGCTAATATCATTTTCCCAGCATTTTACTGCTGGCCAGAACTGCTGAGGCAAATTACATCTATTAACTCCATTAGCAGCTGGCAAGTAACTGGAACAATTTGCAGATGAGAAGGCTAACTGCAAAATAAGCAGGAGTCTCCTGATGAATAAGCAATCGTGGACCTCATTGTCAGGTTTTTAGGGTGGGACTGAGGTAGAAGATAGTGCCTTCACGTCATTCACCCCTTAAGGCTGCTTTCAGAGAAGGAATGGCGATGTATTTCCAAGTCAGGATAGTGTGGGTTGGAGGACAACTTATAAGTGTTGGTGTTCCCATGTCTCTGCTGCCCTTGTCCTTCTAGTGGTCATGAGCTTGAAAAGTGCTGCATTGGTGAATTTCTGCAGTGCATCTTGTAGATAGTACTATGCATTGGTCATGAATGAATGCATCCTTGTGGATGTAGTGCCAATCAAATGGCTACTTAGCCCTGGATGGTGTCAAGCTTCTTGAGTGTTGTTGGAGCAGCACCCATCCAGGCAAGTGGGGAGTATTCCATTGCATTCGTACTTGTGCCTTGTAGATGGTGGGCAGGCTTTGGGGAGCCACTCACAGCAGCATTCCTAGCATCTAACCTGCTCTTGTAGTTACCGTGTTTATCTGGTGAGTCCAGTTAAATTTCTGGTCAATGATAACATCCAAAATGTTGATAGTGGGGGATTCAGAGATGGTAACACCATTGAATGTCAAAGGACGGTGGTTAGAATGTTTCTAATTGCAGATGGTCATAGCTTGGCATTTGTGTGCTGTGAATGTTACTTGTCAGCCTAAGTCTGGATATTGTGCAGATCTTGTTGCATTTGAACATGGACTCCTTCAGTATCTGAGGACTCGTGAATGGTGCTAAACATTGTGCAATCATTGACGGACATCCCCACTTCTGACCTTGTGATGGAGGGAAGGTCATTGATGAAGCAACTGAAGATGGCTTGGCTAAGGACACTACCCTTAGGAACTCCTGCAGAAATATTTTGGAGCTGAGATCACTGATCTCCAACAACACGACCATCTTCCTTTGTGCCAGTACGATTCTAATGGAGAATTTGCCCATCGATTTGCTGGACCTCCTTGATGCCACACTTGGCTGAATTCAGTCTTGATATCAAGGGTTATCGCTCTCATCTCACCTCTGGAATTCAGCTGTTTTGCCCATGTTTGAAACAAGGCTGTAATGAGGTCACAAGCTGATTGACCCTGGCAGAACCCAAACTGGGCGTCACTGAGCGGTTTATTGCTGAGCAGATGCTGCTTAGTAGCACTATTGATGACACCATCCATCACTTTACTGATGATTGAGAGTAGACTGATGGAGCAGAAATTGGCCAAAGTGGATTTGTCCTGTTTTTTGCGTACAGGACATACCTGAACAATTTTCCACATTGTCAGATAGATGTCAGTGTTGTAGCTGTACTAGCACAGCTTGGCTTGGGCAACAGCAAGTTCTGGGGCACAAGCCTTCAGTACTATTGCTGGAATGTTGTCAAGGCCCATAGGCTTTCCAGCATCATATGGCTCCAACCATTTCTTGATATCAAGTGAAGTGAATCAAATTGGCCGAAGACTGATATCTGTGATGCTGGAGACCACTGGAAGAGGCTGAGATGACACATCCACTTGGCACTTCTGGCTGAAGATTACTGCAAATTCCTCAAACCTTACCTTTTGCACTGATGTGTTGGGTTCTTCCATTATTGAGGTTGGGGATGTTTGTGGAGCCTCCTCCTCCAGTGAATTGTTTAATTGTCCACCACCATTCATGACTGGATTGGTAGGCCTGCACAGCTTTGAACCATTCATTGTAGGATAGCTTAGCTGTGTCTGCTGCTTGCTGTTTATGCTGGTTAGCAAGCAAGTAGTCCTGTTTGGTAGCTTCACTAGGTTGACAAATAATTTTTTAGGTATGCCTAGTGTTGCTCCTGGCATGCCCTCCTGCACTCTTCATTTGACCAATGTGAACCTCTGGCTTGATGGTGATGGTTGATAGTAACGGTTGAGTGGGGGATATACCGGGCCATGATGTTGCAGACTGTGCTGGAGTACATTTCTGCAGCTATTGATGGCCCACAATACCTCATGCATACCCAGTCTTGAGTTTGAAATCCGTCCAATTTGGCACGGTGATAGTGCCTCACAACACAATGGAGGGTATTCTCAATGTTCCTCACATCCTTCACATACCTCAGGTTGCCACCGTAGCAAGGAAAGTCAAGGCCAGAAATAGTCTGGAAGAAAAGATTTTGTTTTCCGTCAGCTGAGGATGTAGAGAAGCAGGAGTGTTCTGCCAGGCACACAACACAAATTTAGATTTCCCTATTCTGGATTTCCCTCACTGTCATTACACTGCTGTCCCAGTGTACACTTCCTCTACCGTCCACCCTCACCTGTCTAACTGGGTGCAATAGACTTTTATGCAGAATTGCCCTGCTGCCAATGGTCAGCCACCATCTCCCACAGAATTTAGATGGGACCCTGACAGGTCTTACGCAACTGAGACATGGGAGATTAAAAATCTTCTGCTATGGAGTTCTGAATGGTTTGACCTCCACCTCAGACTT